CACACACACAGTAGTGAACACACACACACCGTGAACACACACCCGGAGCAGTGGGCAGCCATTTTTTTGCTGTGGCGCCCGGGGAGCAGTTGGGGGTTCGGTGCCTTGCTCAAGGGCACCTCAGTCGTGGTATTGAAGGTGGAAGAGAGCACTGTACATTCACTCCCCCCACCTACAATCCCTGCCGGTACGAGACTCGAACCCGCAACCTTTGGGTTACGAGTCCGACTCTCTAACCATTAGGCCACGACTTCCCCAATTGTTGTAATAACAAGATTACTGTTTTTTTCTGTATTTTTGATCAAATAAATGCAGCCTTGATGAGACTTGTCTCATCAAGTCTTCTTTAGACTTCTTTAAAAAACATTACAAGTCTTACTGAACCCAAACTTTTGAACGGAAGAGTATAAAGAAAAGTGTATAAAAAATTAAAAATGACAACCGATGAGGTGGGGGATAGGGCGCATTCTCTGTGCATTCATATTTAAATACTTTGTTTTAGCTATTAAAATCTTCTTTTTTTGCATACTGTACATACCTAAAAAAATATATATATTAAAAAGGAGCCATGCACCATTGTAAACGTAGCAATATCACACGTCAGGGCTAACGGCAATGTTTTGTGTCTTTACCAGCTATGTTATGGCTCCCTTGATGTTTTACAAGTGACATTTGGGTGTTGTGTGTTTGTGGGGGTTTCTGGAAAGTTATATTCAAAGAACACTAAAACTGTTTTAAGTGTGCAAGATACAGGCGCTGGGGGAAAACAGACTCTTGAGTTCACAGTTTGGCTGGCCAGATCATCCATGCACTTTTAGTCTGATCAAATGCTTTAAAGCCAAGAGAAAAACAAACCACATCAGCAGTTTCCTCATCTCTCTGTGCTGCACGTACAGTGATGCGCTCAAAAGTCGCGCATGTCTTCGTCTTCACAACATGTCATCTGTCAGTCATCCTCGTACAGCCGAGCGGCACAAAGAAAACTCAATCAGCCGCGGGAGCCTCTTTTTGTCTGCCAATTCTGGAACTTTCATGCTCCTTATTTGTCAGGTCAAAGGTTAAATTGCTGACCCTCCCTCTCAACCCCCCCTCCTCCTCCTCCCCTCTGCGGCGAAAGCTCTATCTACAGAATCCCCATATTTACATGGATTAGACTTCTTTCACGCTGAAGAAAGAAATCTGGTTCATAGTCAAAGCCCGAGAAGCGGCCCACATCGCCGGAGTGGCCACGTTATTCACCGCCGGACAATGACCATATTGTGGGGATCTGAAAGAGGAGGGGGGGTGGAGGGAAGCGCCCCGCTTTTGGCCCGAGCTGGGGCGGAGAAGCCGCCCCCTCCAACCCCCTTCCCTTTTCGTCCACGGCAAAGTCCTGCGCTTGTGCCACTAGGCTCACAGGGGCAAAACCCCATCCGCTCTCCTGACAAGAGCAAACAAAGCCTGCCCACTGTGAACTAGATGAAGATGTCAAAAGCTTTTAGGCTGGTGGGTGGAAGGGGGGGTGGGTGGTAAGACAAGGTTTAAACCAACAAAACCAGAGAAAAGGCCCTTTTCACTCCCATGGATAAATCCCACTAAATCTACATTTCCACATCAGCTTTACTTTCCCCCGACAACAATCCAGCGACTCAATAAAATGATCAAGAACAAATAAGCGAGGCCTTCGAGAGGACGGGGCCACCGGTTTAGCAAATAGACCATGCCGAGCTAATCAGAGGAGAACAGAGGAGCTGATACCATATAGACATTTGGGAAATTTACACAACTTTACCGTCCTCATCTAATCCTCCGTGACGTCCTGCGACTTCTGCAGGAGGCCGAACTGGGGTCAAGCTTCTGGAAGATGCTTTCTGCAAAAAGACGCGAGGCATCAGCATCTGTGATGGTGGAGTTAAAACAAACTCAAGTTTCAGAAAGACGGCATAGCACGTCACTATAACGCTCCTAGATAACTTGTTTACTCGCTTTATGTGTAACACACACACACACAACTCCGCACAGCCGCTTTCACACTCCCGCTTCTCCAGTGGTGTTGAGAACAAATGAGAGCTGTAAGTTGTTAATTAGTGTTTCCTCCAGTTCGGCGGGCCAGGGGTCTGAATGAAGAGGTCAACGCTATCTGTGTACCTAAGGCTCAGACAAAGACAGAACACATTGTCTTTGACCAGTCAGGGCTTAGCACTGCTGTCAGCGAGGAAAGAGAGGAACAGAGCGGGAGGGCGCGGGCACATTTATGCTCCGGAATATTTTTGCAATTAAACACGGCTCTGTCCGTTTTTAGAAAGAAATCCAAAGTGCTCGTCCGAAATTCCTCTCAGTGTTGTAAACCAGTGAGTCACTGGCTGTGATTTTAAAGACAGGATCCTCTTTTTACTGCGTGTTAGAACTGGATGTGAGCATTTTATGGATGTCAAAGATCAAAGACTATCCATCTACTTTGGATCCAGCATCCCAGATCTGGATAACAGTGACATTAGCACGCACAGTAAGCATTTTTCTGTAAGTGTTTATTTTTAAACACAGCTTTCTCTTCCAGGCCAACCAATACTGGGAAGTAGGAAGTATTTAAAGGGCAAAGCCTTGTCCCTTTTGAGGACCCACCGTATAAAGCAGACCAGAGTGGAGACTATGGCCCATTCAGATGTTAATACATACACCATTCCACTGACTCTGATTAACTCCATGTGAGTTAATAGTTGCCCTGTTAACAAAGAGTTATCCTCCCATTCAAGTCGGCGGTATGTTTAGGAGGAGAAAAGCAAGGAGAGGGAATTTGTAGTGAACCTTTACAGTACAAGCCCCTTCAGGATATAATACAAGCTCCGTCTCCTCTGGCTAATCCAGTCTGCAGATGCTGGAAAGAAGCTCACTGCTCTTGCAGGGACAAATAGTCAGAGAATGGACGGAGGCAAACAAAAGAAATGTCCCCCCCCACCCCAGGTCTAAACTGAGCCAGAGGTTCTCCAAAAGTGTGGGACAAAACCAAGTAGACAAGCTAAAAGCTTACGTTGCTTTGGAAAGTGCTTTCTGTGCGTGAGTTTATCCTCATGCATAATGATTGGACGAACAAACTTAAAAGTTTTCAAAGCATTGGCTTTAGCTCTGTCTGGGTTTTGGGATATTTAAGTTGCAAAACAATCAATAAGACTCCAGGTGATTATTGATGTTTTAAAGTTCATGGTATACTTACCTTGGTCACATCCATTAATGAATGAGCGTAACCTTACTTTATGCCAATTAAATTAGGAAGTTTGTCTACATGGTTCCAGCTCAGAAGTCCATACTCACCATTTATTTTCCATAAAATTTCCCCTAATTAATATGCACCCTATTAGCTAGGTGCTACTCTCTTAAAAATAAAGTGTCATTCTAAAAACATTCCCCAATCATCGGCTTTCCTCCTGATTTTTGGCTCCAGACTGACAGGTTAACATTAGAAGTTGAAAGCAGTCGCGCTCTCGAGCTAATCTATAATCAATTCCAAATGGTGTGACTGTATAATGAAACAGCAGCGCTAATGGGCAAGACCAGAATGGTCACTACAACCTACATCTAATTGGTTTGGTTGCCCAGCCCTCAGCGTTTAAAACACTAGCTTTTTGAAGTTTGCATGTTTGTAACGGCTTTTAAGACTCACTTATCGTAACTCTCTTGGATAAATTTCTGAGGCGACTTCTCATGTTCGCGCGCTCCTCGAAGTAACGTAAACACGCACCTAAACTATCGCGATACCTGGGAAGTGAACTAGAACTTCAAAAACGCTTTCACTTTTAATTAGTCTAGATTTTTAAAGAGACAACAGTTTTATTTTGACTTAAAATAGACTACATACAGGCAAAGAAACTCCGTTTTAAGTGCACTAATTATCTACATTTTCATTGCGAACTCTCGCTATGTCTGCAAACCCTTTTAAGCTGATGTGTGCCTCTGAATCTATCTATCTCTTAATCTTATTTAGACAAATTAATCCTTAATCATGCACTGTGTCAATGCAATCTTTTACAGCCTAGATTTCAGAACACGAGGAAACCAGTCGCAACAATCTTTGGTCGGCAGGAAGAGAGAGAGAGAGAGAGAGAGAAAGAGAGAGAGAGAGAGAGAGAGAGAGAGAGAGAGAGATCTTCCGCTCCCCTAGAATGCCCAACACTGTCTAATTAACAGGACTACAGACAGAAAGACTGGAGTGACGACCTTCTCATACACGTCTATTATTTCATGTGTTTATACATTACGGCAACCATTTAAGTCTGCATTTTTTTTTATTTTTATTATTATTATTATTGTTAATAATAATAATAAATATAATATAATTCCACTGTGTATATGTAAATGTATAAATAATACATAACTGTATAAATAATACATTTATACAATAATACATACTAACGTTTCTGATATTTCTCCCTTAAGTCAATCTGAATTAAATTGCCTATAGGCTAAATAGCCACGAACACATAATGTAGTCTGTATCATACTTTGGCAATAGTCCTGTATAAACACTCGTTCCTCTCGCATCAGTCTTGTCATGATGAGGAAGTTGTTATTGGTTTCCGCTCTCACACCTCATCGGAAGAATCTGATTCAGACAGAAGGTAAAGGGCAAACCTTGAACTCATTAACAGGTTAAAAGAAGGGCCGCGAAACAGCACTATCCATCCACTTTTAATTCAGAGCCGAGAGAACGCGCAAGACAGCCAACAGATGCTCTGACTGTGTGTAAAATAAAACCCATCCATGTATCGTTTCATTGAGTCTATTTAATTGTGTTAAGACACATTTTTGTGTCTTAATTTTCACTTTCAAAATATCTATTTTTATACTGTATCGTTTACTAATAGGATAAAAAAGAAAAATATATTTTTTCAGCTCAGCTTCCAGAGTTCTCTCAGGATAAAAAATGAACGATCCATTCACCGGGAGTGGGTAGGCAGTGTTGCTCCATTCGTTCGTGCTGAAAGCCTCAAATCTCAGCACAGAAATATCAGTGGTTTGATCAGAGCTGGATAGAATTATCACGGGGAGAGATACAAAGGCGGAAGACAAAACGCGCTCGCTTTCCCTGGTGTTTGAGTACAAACCATATTAAACACCGAGCTCCAGTTATTAGATCTGACTGAAACAGCACTGAGGAATATGAAGCAGACGTTTATGAAATCAGAGACACTGTTTGACAAACCAAATAGGTAGGCTAACGTCTTGAGTAAAACGAAAGGATATGAAACCACACTGAACTAAAATGATAAACAATGGGGAAAGGCGAAATAGCCTAGTGTACGAATTATACAGTGACTTTTCAAACGGTCGACTTTTTAAAGATAATTTTAAATTATTAAATGTATTAATTGTATTAATTGTAAAGGTAGTTTTCAGGGCATAATCTGTCGAGGTTCATCTCACGCAATGCAAATTGCAATTTGTCACGTAAAAGCCTAGCTAACTAAAGGTTCTTTATTTTTTTCTAAAATATGTAAAAACTATTATCTTTATTATGTAAATCTAATTCTATAATAAAGTGATACAAAAATTGTGATGTTTACGCAAATTGATGCTATTGGAAAGCGCGTGCGCAGTGTACTGTTGCTATGGTTACCTCCATCCAGCGAAAACGTCTAGGTGAAAATCGCTATGCGTTCTGGCTAACTTGTAGCGTTACTGAAACGTTTGAGAACCCCTGCTGAAAAATACAAATAGCCTATTTGTTTGTATATAT